TAATGGGGAAATTGTTTTTTATTTGGCTGGATATATTATATTTGATTATTTGATGGCAGTATATTGTGATAACAAACTGTTAAGCATAGTATCCTTTTTTTTGGTCATTTGGATGGTACAAAAACAAAAGACTACCTTTATAGAGTTAATTGTGCCTGAAACAGTAGGTCTAAGATTGTTGATGATTTTTCTTATTTAAACTTGATGGAAAATGCACTAGAAAATAGAGATGGAAACCCTTCTGCTGCACAAGTAGCAGTTTCTGTTTTCATATGTGTTGCAATTAGATGGAAATTGTTACTTGTTTAAACACAATTATCATAATGCTCGAAGGCAAAACTCCAGTCATTTGAAATAAAATTGATGCCTTGGGTTTTCTTTGGAGAAAACATCATAAACAACCATGTTGCCAAAGTAAGAAGGATCTTCCTGTGCAGTGGAATAGAGAGCCCACCAGGATGTGAACCAGTGGCCTGGTGTTCTCTTTGCGTTCCTGCTACTTGGCTGCTGATCAGATTTTTTGTTTCTTCTTTAGTTAGTAACCGCAGTGAAGTGAAAACCAAATAAAGCTAATTGCGTTTGCTCTCAGTCACTTGTTTTTATTCATTCTGGTAGTTGGTTACTGTACATAACTCTCACTGAAACATTCATATTGAATGAAATTTCCATTTCAAACATGGCATCATGTATCTAAACCCAAAGAGAAGGAGATCACTGTTGCCACTTTTGATTTCTGTCTTTGAGAGCAGTATGTTTCACTGTCATTTACAGGTATATGTGATCTTATTTCCTAATTTTTACTGGTTAGTGAATATTTTATGGTTATGAGTAAAGAATGTCAAAAAATATCTTGAGATGACAGTGACTGTGGTTTGGATAATGGATGTAAGCAGCAGTTGCAAGAGCTATTTGCAGGGACATGAATAGCAACAGACACAATTTGCAGTTTTGAACTTCTTGCCAGAGTGAAGTAAAAAATTTACATATGTGCACATATGCTTGCACACTTGCACAAATGTACACCATTGAGACAGTGCAATGAAGCTTGAAGTGAGTTCCTGCGAATACAATAGTACAACTAATGGCACAGACCAAGTGGTTTGTAGTAGTCCTATGAGCTGAATTTCATTTCAGATATGGTCAGGGACAGTTAATATAACACACTCTCAGTATGTGACTATTTTTTTTTTCAATTTTAGTATGCTTGACCAACTGCTGTAGAGGAAATATCTGTGTATCTTTATTGCAAATGGTAAGCATTTCTGAGCTCTCCTAGAAAGTGTATTTAGTTGTTCACTTTGGCAGAGCTGACAATTATAGTACTGTTCCTAGAGTTAAACAGGCTGTAGCAATATGCGATCAGACTGTGTGTGTGTGTGTGTGTGTGTATGCATGTTTATGACATAAACTATGGAAAAGCAGAGGGGGGGGGGGTATACTTCTCTGACCAAACAAGCCCACTTCATCCCACAATGCAATGCACTTGGGGTGAGAGGAGGCTGAGAAAGTTCCCTTGGCTTTACAGGGTAATCCCTTGATAAATAAACTCGGAAGACAAGACCACCGCTGCTATCTGTAAACCAATACTCCCCTAGAGGCGGGATGGCCCTTGCTGTGTTCAGATTACACTCCCTTGCTTCAGGATGATGACACACACACATACACACACATCAATTTTGAGTTAAACAGATCCTGGTACAAACTTTTTTACGGTTAAAATAAAGTACGTAGTTAAAAAAATACTGATCCATCCTGCCTTCAGCAGTAGAAATCTAAATCTAAATTTGTATTTCCCTAAAGTCTCCCCATGTGGACAACATGCATCCCACCAATCTGCTCCCTCCATTAGTCTCTGTCCTACAGCAATCATATAAGGAATGCTCCACAAAATAACTGAATTTGTGAAGGTATAACAAAGATAAAATGGTGTTCACACACACACACACACACACACATACAAAACCAAGTACTCATGCTATACCCAAATGGGATTTTCATTCTCACACCATCATCAGGTCAGGAAATTTGATTTATGGCCGTGTTTTAGCCCATGTCATTTATTCAACCACTCGTCTGATTGGCCCTCAGGATTATGTGGTCATAAGATCCAACTTATAAGAGCATGTCTCCTTTTCTCAAGCGGATCCATAACGAGGATACTGTTTGTTTTCCCTATAATGACTTTGTGTACTGTTTACACTTTTGTATGCTTAGTTAAACATAAGAATGCTTTGGTCAGGGTTTTCTTTCTCCAATCTCTTCTGGCCTCCTCAAAAGTTGTGCATTTTTGAACCTCTTCTCTGTGGTTTGGTTGTAAAAATAACGGAGTAATGCAAACAGAACTGTGAGTGAACTCCTCTTGATGTTTACATTTTTGTCTTGGAGAATAGCTAAGTGTTATACAAAGGCAGGTGAGAAATGGCACTGGATTTAAAACTTTAGTCTGCCTCTTTGAAAAGTTCCCAATGACTGGATTAGATCCTGTCTTAATCCTCCATTTATCACCACTGCAGCGAAGTGATAACCTGAGCTCTTTTTGGTTGTTTTTCATGTGCTAATTTAAATTTATCTTTGGGTTCATGAAATGTATTTAAAACTTTATATTGACCTTTTGGGAGGCTGCTCGTCAGTAGAAAAGACATTATAAACACACTATTTCCATAACAATAAACAGTAACTATTGTTACTGACTTTTCTCAGTTTCATCTCAGCCCTTTGCACACCTGTCCCTTGCACAGCCTGCCAGCTTCACCACTTTCATACAAAAACGCACTCTCCCTCTTTTGCACACACTGTACTGTAGACCTCCCAAACACTGTGTCTGGACATGATGTCATGGAACTGTACAATGTTTGAAATATTTGTTTTGAGTCCTTGGAATGTATTTACCAGAAATGTATTTTTGCTAAATAAGGAAGCAGCATATGGTGCAATTTAAGCACATCTTTCATATTGGCTAAGTAGTAGTAAGTAGTAAAACAGGTTTAAGCAAGTTTACATGGTAAAATGAATCAGCCTTAGCATTTATAACTTTACTGCTTTAACTTTAACACAACAGTCCATTTTAAAGGTTTGAAATTTACAAGTGTTCTAATATGAACACACCATGTGGAGATGACATTAAAATGAATTAAACAATAATTGTCCACAGAAGCATTGCAGCACATGCAAAGAGCATTTGGCTTAGTGTGTTGAAAAGACAACAGTTGCGATGTTCTATCTTTTCTCACCTCCACAATGTAATGTGTGTGTGTGTGAGTGTGTGTGTGTGTGTGTGGCATGTTTGCATATGTATGCTGCAAGCTATGCGCATGTGTGGCTGTTAGCCGCTCTACCACATGTGAGCATGTTTTATTGGTCTACGGGGAGTTAAGGTTAATGCAATAAAACAACCTTCCCCGTGCCCAACGTCTGCTTTAAGAGAGAGGATTTAAGACCAGAATGTAGTAAAGCTAAAGTGGGAGAGGAAGGCCAGAGTGAAGTGAAATGTTCAGGTAGTTAGTTTTGCTGTTAGAAAGCATCTCTTGGATTCCTGAGCCACTAACAATCCCACTGCTAAAGCTAGCTGTTATGTGACAACTTCAAATTAAACTCCATTTATAAGGCACATGAGATGACGTATTTTTAGCAAGCTGGCGAGACACATTTTGTGAACATTAACACATATTTCAGCTGCTTCCAGACTTACTTATCCAAACTCTCCCCAGCATTTGGACACACCCCTTCAACCAACCATTTAAACACAGGTGCTTGATAGTTCCCTCCCAAGTGAAGTTTATGTATTTGTTTGTGCATTCCATTGTTTTGGACCCCTCACAGGCCATCCTAAATACTTGCATTTCTGGGGCACTGTGTCTAACAAGATGAGAAAAGTTTGTGCAATTGCTTAGATGTTTTTACAAGCAGCGACGTCCGGAGCAGAACCGCAGGATTAGTATCGTTGCATCAGTTATATGAAGCTCGACCAATTTCTGATCCTTTTTTGAATTGTAACTCACTGTACTCTAGGTGTGCTAGTTGTCAAAACTCCCCGCTGTGTACACATGAAAATTGCGAGCTTTCAAAAATAAAAGTCATTCAGCCTTAATTCCAAACAGTGAATAAAATGATAAAAGAGTGTTCTCAGACAAGGAAGCAATATGATCATCTCTTCTGGGAAAAGACTATGTTTGCTTTACTGAGTGCAGGGAAACATCAAGAATGAGTAACCTTCCCTCAATGAAGTCAAACGCTGCTTCTTACTGTAAGTCTCCCTTTTCTAAACCAGTGAAGAACAAGTAGAGCTGTATGATGCCCTTACATAGTAGAATGACTCATCCCTCTAGACAAAGCAGTGTATATACATTGATCACTATAAGGAGTTACTCAGTCCAGCATGCAAGATCCATTACACTCTGTCTCTTTAGCTAATTGAGGACCACATAATAACACTGGCCAGAGGCTTTTAAGCCAATGAGATGTCATTGATTTTACGTCCTGGCTTGTAGCACACACCCCTTTTATTCTTGTGACCCCGCTGTCTCCTCCTCTCCACTGCTTTGCTTTAATAGCCCACTGGAGATACTATGCACACCTGCATTCAACGCCATGAGGTAGTGGAATGTTCTACATTTACTGTCAGCCCTCCTGGCAATAACTCACTCATCGCACCATTTTCTGTCATCACATCCCTCACTTCACGCCCACCGTTTTCCCATGTTGTCCGTTACTCTGAAGTTCTCTGTTCCATAATTCTTTTTAACTCTCCTCACCCAGTAATCATTCAATCATAATGTAGGCATTCCTCATTTGAAATGGATAGCATCACTGTGATGAAAAGTGACTTTGAATGACTTATTTGCGTGTATGTGCTTTCAACTGTGCAGGTGTCAATTGGAGGTTTATGGAAGTCACCCTGCAGGTCCACCCATGCTTGTATATGTTTTCCTAGCTTAACAGGTATGTGTGTGTGTGTGTGTGTGTGTGTGTGTGTGTGTGTGTTTGCTCTATCATCCCCACAGGTGGACAAGGTGTGTGGCCTGTCTACTGGGGAACCTACAGGCATGCAGCCAACTAGCCCAGAGGTCACAGCCTTTACCTTAACCCCATCTTCTGCTCTTCCATCTGCTGTCCCCTCCCAACCTCTACCAGAGCAGTGGCTGGGACAGTTAGCTCACTTGAAGAGGTAAGACTGCTGTACTGTGAAGTTTACTACTGCCTTTTGTAAATCCAAAACAAAGCTGCAGCTTCAGCTTTTTTTGCTCAATTCAATTAGTGTACTGTTATATCAGGTCAATAAAATGTAAAGTAAATTTGAATTAAAGGAACACTCCTCAGGTGTGCATGACATAGTCTGAGGGGTTGGTCAGTGTATGTTCACAGCTACCATCACTTCTCTCTTTCTTCAAATGGTTAGTTGGACACAACACACACCCACACCCACACACACACACACACACACACACACATAGTAAATTTAGAGCCTGGCACTGAAGTCCATGCCCTCCACCTGGCCTCTGAGGCAGCCATCCCATGCCCACAGCAGCTGGCAGTGATGCCAGGAGAGGGGGAGTGTGGTTAAGATTAATCTTGACTGACCAACAATTTCCTGTTTACCCAGACGGCCATACCACCAACTCTGCACACCAGCCGGCCTCAGCTTAAATAGCACCACACACAGAAACGCACACACACACAGACATACACTTGCAGCGTTGCCTGCCTGACCTCGTCCCAAACCATGAATCACTGCACTGATGCCAGCCTAGCTGACAGGTCTGGCCTGGCACTACCACCGCCATTCATGGCAGCACAATCCAGCTCCCTGCCTTCTGCCAACCCTGACCAGAGCACATGTGAGCGCTGACCACTTCAGAGACATGGCAGCACCCGCTGCAGTAAAGGGAGAGTAGTCTATAACACAAAAATATGAAACATGATAGAGTAAAGCAACATTTATGTTTTGTTTTAATGGAAAAAAATATGAATCAAGTAGCTCAGCAGAACTTGGTTGTCCTGTGAATATTTAACTATTTGCACACGTAGAGATGTTTGCTTGTGTGTTTGTTTTCCGACTTAACATATACATTACATATCAGAATCTGTTTCTTGGTGTGGTGTGGGGAGAAAGGGTTATTCATTTATGTGTGGTGTGGCCAGTCTCTGCATGTGCATGAATAATCACTCTCTTTCAGGGTCAACTGACTGTCTTTTCTCCCTCCTCCCCACGTGTCTTGTCTTGTCATCCTTTTGTTTCTGTTTCTTTTTCTTTCTCTCACCCCCCCCCCCCCCCTATTCCTCACATCCCTGCATCCTCCTTGCTTGCAACAATATCCCCTGGACACCAACTCCCATCATTCCCAGCTCGTTGCCCCTGAAACCCTCCAAGAACAATAAACATAATCTGAGAACGCTCTCTAGGTAAGCATGAACCCAGGGGTCTTATTCCTCTCAATCTCTCACACACTTTAATCAGCCGTGAGCTCATTTTGTGACTAGTCAAGATACCTGTGACATTTAATTTGCAGTTAATTAGGTTTGTCTTTTGAGTGACTGAGGCATTTTTTTTTTTTTTACAAAACCCTTCATATTGTCTTTTGTTCTTGAACAGCGATTCCTGACACCAACCGACTCAGCACTCAACCTCTCATTACCCCCGTTTTTTTGCTCTGCCTCATGGGTGGCAACAACGTGTGTCCGATCAAAATATTATGCCACTGTTTTGCTCGAGATGACAGCGTCTATATTGATGACATGTGTTAGAAGATCCGGTGAAGCAAGCACATTGCCGCATAATTGAGAAATGCGCTGACTTAAAGAAATGGTCACATTCAAAGCCAGTTATTTTCTCCTACCGTCAATATCATCATATTCATTCATCACATACATGTATTGTTGAATGGAATGGAGATACTGTTGGTGGTATGGTACCAAATAGTTGAGAAAGAGTGTTCACCAACCACACCAGGAATGTTGCCACAATCTCACAATGCATTACAACTGTATGTTTTCTAACATGGCTAGTGAGTCAGAAAGATATGCTGTATGTATTAAAATTACTCTGTCTCATTTGCCTATGTGTCTGCTTTTTTTCTTAGGGAGTTCTTAATGTACCTGCAGCGCTACAAGTCTTTCTTTGCAGCGTTGCCAGAGATGCTGTGCGAAGGGGAGAATGTAGTGGATGACTCCACGTGCTGGAGCGGAGATGATGTGGTGGAGAGGTAAGGGTTAACTATACATTATAAGCTTTAAAATGGCTTGAGATTGTGGAAAGTAAAGACTTGATAGATGAGACATTCATTCCTCCTGGATAATTACATTACATGATGTTACTTTTTGTTAAAAAACAAACAAACCAGATGTTCCTGCAAATCTGATATTTTGTTTTGTTGAACACAACTAGATTGTTACTTTGGGTTTTTGAACTGAAAATAAGTAAGACTTTCACTATTATGCCCTTCTTGACTTGTATGCACCAAAATCCATTGTTCTTTTCAGATTTAGGAAGAGCAGTGAAAATTTATTTATATTTAGACTTGTACTGCTGTGAGAGCTGTTTGTTCCTTGTGATTAGGCAACGTTTTGTATCTTGTTACACCACTTTGCCATGACCAGTTGTTGCATAAACATGTGTTTCTGCAGCACTGGAGTTTGGAGATGAGAACTTTCATTTTCTCCAGATGGCACGGCAGTAGAAGCTGGCTTGTGTGCATTTTTTTTTTCAAACATGTAATTTAGTTTCACCTTTAATAACTCTAACACTTTGCTTTGAGAAGCATGAGTTTTGAATACATTCAGATTTGAGAAAAATTAACTAACCTCTGTGCATTTGTTCGTCTGTGAGTCAGTGTGGCTGGCTGTTGTTAATCAATGTGAAAATAAGGAAGTTATTAAATCCATCTCAACATTGAGTGAATGCAGGCAGAACAAATAGTTGCTAGGCTCCCCTCTCCTTTGTATTAGAGTCAGTTAATGATTTGTTATCTGTGCCTCTCTCTCTTTCTTTACTGCATTCTGTTTCTTTCTTATATTTATGACGTTTTTATTTTGTACTGATTTATAGGTGTGTCCCTGGAACCCTTTTTCTGCTTATGGTTTTGGGTGCATCTCTCAAAGACTGAAGTACTTGCTGTGTGTGTGTGTGTGTGTGTGTGTGTGTGTGTGTGTGTGTGTGTGTGTGTGTGTGTGCGGTTATGTGCTCTCTCTCTGTCAGCATGAGAAGAACAGAGAATTGCTGCAGATTACTGAGCCAGTGCGAGTCTGCAACTGATTCCCCCTGCTGGATCTGTTTCTTAAATGCTCTAGAAACTCAGTCCACAATTATGACAAGGTTATGCTCTCCTTCTGCTGTGGTGGCCCTAAACTGGCTCCCATTACCATAGCAACCTCAACTCTTGGCACTGCCAATATTGGCATCAACAGAGGAAAACAGAGATCCTGGGATGTCTTTTCCCCACGATCCACCCTGAGTGTGTGTCATATCATTTGGCCCTTGTCCGTTTTGCTGGATTAAGCCACGCATTAGGCTTTACATAACTACATAGGAAGACATTAGGCACATGAACAGATGTCTCGGATTCCGAAAATACATTTTTATTAGTCCCAGTAGATGGCAAAAGCATTTTGTTAGAGATTTTCATGAACAAGTTAGGCTTTAATTTGCTTATAAATAGTTAGCTTTCAAAATATCATTTTTGTTTTAGTTTGGATCTCTTTTCATCTCTTCTCTCATTCTCATCTGCTGACTAGTACTCTCCTACCCTTCCCAGCGGCAGAGGTTCTGCCAATGGCTTAGACATATTGAGCAGACCACCCATTCATCAAGGCCTGTGACAGTGTGTCACATTCTCAGCCAATGTGTGTGTGCAAGGTCCATGATCAGGAGCATATGAGGGAGTAAACACAGGGAGGAGCAATCGTTCAGCACCTCCAACACAAGAAATATCTACTCTTGACAAGATACGGCTTCTTTGTCTCTATTTAAAGTCAGTTCTTTATTTCTTTACTCTGTCTGTGTCTAAGCAAGTGTGTGTGACTTTTACTACCAAGGGCGCTGGTTTTTCAGTGCTAATGGGTTGTAACGGTGTGTTATCACACACTCCCTGGTGAGAGCCAGGTCTTTGCTTGTGGTGTCAAGGGTTCTTGGGTTGGATAAGAAAACAGTACCCTACTGAAACATTTGGCACCACTCATAAACTGCCCAGATTGGCCTGTGGCTATTCAGCAAACCTCCCTCACTGTATCTGACTCTGTTGGCATGTATTAGAGAGAGAGGGACAGGGCAGGGCATGAAAAGGGTTGGCGTTTTGGTGCCGCGGTGCCCCCTGTGCCTCCCTGTGCCCCTGATGAGGGAATCATGATGGAGTGATGCGGGGTGGGGGGGGCTTGGCAGCATAAAGACCCATTGTGGAGTCAGTGGAGTGGGGCAGAGCCCTGCCGTGGGGACCCCCAAAGCCTTGAGCTGAACAAAGACCCTCCTATGAGGCTGCATGGGAAAGACTTGGACATCACTGCGACTGCTACTGCCACTGCCTGCACCATGCCTGGGAAAGTTGCATGAGAACAGGAGATGAGAGAAAGGTAGATAGTGAGAGGCAAAGATGAGAAAATATGAGAAGAGATGAGAAAAAGCGTGCACGGAATAAGATACAAACAGTATGGTTAAAAATGGGCATGTGACGCCGCTATGGTGTTAGTCCGTGCCATACTCTGACTTCCTGTATGGTGGGCACACAAAGCCTCTGAGGGCTTGGTGCTTCCCACGAGAGGCCATAGAGACATAAACTCAAGCACACTCCCATATCTATCCACACAGCATCCATATGCTACACAGCAGCTGGAGGGGTCATTCATTCAGACACAATCATACTGTGCTCGGCAAGGATACACATATCCACATGTGAGAACACACACACACACACACACACACACACACACACTTGTATAATACTTCAAAGCACATCAAAGGCGTTGGGGATTGAAATTCCCTTCCTGTCTTTATTCAGCATCTGATGACGGGGGGGCAGTTGTACTTACAACTAAAAGTGCGTGTTGGCATGTGCTCAGACATCTCTGAACATTTACAGCATCACACGCGTGAATACTTTGCACCATCTTTTCCGGAAAGATAAGATCAACCAAAATTACCACGTTCTTTATCTTGATTAGCCAGTTACTGTATATCTATAGTCTCAGCACAAACTGTAACTGATTTATCGCCATCTCTCTACACTTTAATTATATTATATATAATTACCACCCCTATTTCTGCTTGCCTTTTTAGAAACCTTTGACACATATTTAGAGATGCAGGTTATGAAACAACGCTGCAGGCTATAGCCACTGTGAAGACATCATAACGAACTTGATTAGCCCTTTGACTGAAAACACATGAAGAGGTAACCTCAATGAGACTTTCATTAGTCAACAACTTATTGTTAAATTTCTCCCAGACATAATCAGACCCAAAATTATTGGGTACGAATGACAAATCAAGGGGAAATAATATTTCAAATCAGGACAGGTTTCAAATGTAAAATGATGGCAGGTTATTGTCAGGATCCTGAAAGGAGGTAGGTGCTGCTCACTGGATTGAAATGAGTAGTGGTAATTAGTGATTAGTCCCCGTGTTGGTTACTCTAGGGTAAAGCCAGACTGCAAGTTAGGTGTAGCCACCTCCACCCACTTTTCGATGGGAAGCAGAAAATCAGGTGCATAACAGGGTCACAGGTGGCAAAAGAAAGACAGGTGGAGCAGTTTAAGTGAGTACATTGCTGACCTGGAAATGGCGAAAAACCATGGCATGTTATCACAACTTAGATCTTCAATGTTTTTAATCTAAATACAAATTGCAGCATGCCACTTTATTGCTTAAATTTGACTTATTTCACATGCATCTCATGCATTGATCTGTTTTCCCAATGAAAGTTTATTGAAATAGCTATGGAAGCAAATAGTAAACATCATTTGGCTTTACAAAATGATGGTTCTACCTACAAGCAGCTGATTCTGTGTGGCATTGCTGTAGCTTTAGACTTACTTGATTAAATGGAGTTGCCACTTAAATCCTAAGCTGATGGTATAAGTAATGAGGTATATTTAATAAGTAAAAGAAATCGGGGAGAGTCGATGAAGAAGCCTTCCTGTTTGAACCTAACCTACAAACTCTTTAGGGACTAACTTTGTACTGAGCTGATTTACACACTGATTTATACAGGCAGACTGTATATTCTGAAGGGGGAAAAAGAAAGAGCTAAGATCTTAGCATGGGTGTATGCACATGTGGGTTTGTAGTGCATATGTGTGTACATGTTCTTTAATGAAAAAGGAGGACTACTAACTCATCACTATACTTTGGGGATGATTCTAAAGTTTTGGATTAGCACGAGGCAACAGACAATTTAGCAGTGTAAGTGCTTCTGAATGCCTTGCATTTTTATAAGGTTATGACAATCCATTTGTTTATCATTTTGACATCTGGAATCCATTCTGTTATTGGAGGGAGGCGCAGGAAGAGCGCTGCACCGGGCAAAGCCCTCACCCCTCACACTCTCATTCACTTTCTCTCCTTCTTCCACTACCATCAACTCATAGTTTTTTTTCTTCCCTGCCTTCTCTGTGTCAGTCTCTTGGGTCAGAGCAGCTCGGTTTGAAAAATTTAAGGGAATTTAATAATGAAATTCTATCAGAGGGAACAATAAATTCATTTCTATATGCAGAGGAGGGACATTCCCTGCTCCGAGTTTGTGTGTGCTGTGTGTGTGTTGCTAAGGGCTTTTGTTAGCAAACGCAAGCAAAACACCAGCAGTCAGTTCAGTCCGTTAAGTATGTGAATTCTTTAAAATGTAGACATTAAGACAGAGATGATGGAATGGTGGTACACAGAGTCATGACCATTGACATCAGAGAAATAATGAACAGTAATGGAAATGAATAGTTTTCCCCCTTTGCTCCTACCCTTTCACCTCTTCCATTTGCATTTGGTGCCTGCGACGAACCTCTTAGTCCTTTCTCTGTCCCTCCCACAATCCCTTCTCTTCTATTTCTCCTTAGCTCTGATTCACGGCCCATCCCTTTCCCATAACCCTGGGCTGCTGCCTGGAACCTCAGTGTGACCCACTCCACATTACTACATTGCTTAGTATTTTCTCTCTTTGGGGCTGCATCTTTATGTTGTGTTGTGTTGTGTTGTGATGTGTTGTGTGTGTGTGTGTGTGTGTGT